CCGCCTAACTTTATTAGGGCATTATATTATATTTAATTTTTGAAATAGAACCAATAATTAATTATTTAAAATTTTAAAGATATTTGTACGATATTAGATTGTTGAATTAAAGACAAGATCCGGCTTATAGTCCAAGATCCGATTGCAGGATTATTACGCTCATCATAATTTTAATAGAAAAACTAATTTTTACCTGTTTTTTTATATTTATGAATAGGGAAATACACTTTTTAATAGGGCGCCAATCAAAAACGTTGCCGCAAATATGTTTAAATAATAATAATACTAATAATTGTTTTTTTTTGAAGACGACATTACGTTCGAAACATTTATTGATCATTTATACAGTGTGTCCACGGATTGTCTTAACTATACTTGTAAACTTGTTTATTTTCGATTTTTCGAAAAAAAGTCAAAAAGTCATTCTTCGTAACTTTTTTTGCTTGTTATTTAAATATGATTGAAGTTGCGAAATATACATTTTAATATAGAGGGAGCTTAAAAAATGTAAAATTGGAGATATGAAAAATTTTAAAAATTCTCGATCAGACTTTTTTGAAACATTAAAGGGAAATAGCATTGAAAAACAATTTGAAATTCCAAATAATTTTTTATACGAGTTTTAGTTACTAAGATATTTCATATTAAAAATAAACTTAAAACGGATAAAAAAGTAACAATTAATAACAATTAAGATATGACATACTCTGTACATTTTAAAATAATTTTAAATTATGCACATTGCCTTTCCACATATACCCATAAAATATTTTGTTTCTACATCTTTCCGTTTTCGTATAATCAACGGAGGCAAATGAGGTGGTTAGTGTAAGTGTGGTGTTAGTGCAGTGTAGTGTTAGTGTAAGTGGTGTGTGAGTGTAGATTAAGGATTAATATAAGGGTGTCCTTTATATCTACACTCACCGGCATGAAAAACGGGTACCTTAAAATTTTGATAAATTTTAAAGTTTAATATATTTTGTGTTAGTGGACCGATTTTGATGATTTTTTATGCAGTTTGTAGCTAAGTTATTTGACTTTTTAGCATCTCTTTCTAAATTAAAAATGGAAGTTGCCATTTGTCAATTATACGAGGTAAAAGAAAATGTTGATATTTTGGTGAAAGTTCGGAACACCCTGTGGAATACGATAACAAAGCAAGCAATTTAAATCATTTTATCATCTAGGTACGTCTTTTCTCGATAGTTTGTTTTTTGATGCATCTCAATAGCTTTATTTTTGTTGGAGATATTCGTATTTTAGAGTTTTTAGTATTTTTACATGAAAACCATACCTTTGCTTTTGGTCCTCGTCAACAGACCTATAAAATTAGGGTTGCCCAGTGGCGTAACAACAGACTCACGGGCCTGTGTACAAAAATTTTACCGGGCCCCCTATTACACCTATATATTTCAATACTTATATACTAATCTGAATAATATGCACTCATATTTTATGTTAGAAATAACATTTCAAATTAATTTTTATATAATATTATTTATTACTGCAACACAGAATATGTAACCCAAAACATATAAAATATCAAATAAATAAAAAAATAAATAAAAACAAAAGAAAAACAACAACAAAACTAACTAAATTAAAATAAACAATGTAAATAGGAACATGAACATGTTAAAATTCTTTTTTCCTTGCTTTAGCATAGGCGAAAGTTGACACAAAATACCAATATCTATTGTACGAGTAACTTCATTTTCTATTGAAATAATTACCAAAGAAAGTGGCAGTTTCGGGCACCTCTCGTAACTCAGCTGCCTTATCGTCCCCTTAATACAACCATTAGGTAACTAGAGTTTTTGTGATTTTGAGTTAACTAGTTTGGCCAATATAAATTTTCATGCTCTTTTTGATGCTCTAACTAGCTTAGTTCTATTTCTATTCGATGGTACAGAAATCCAGTGACAATACAGCAAATTTCCTTTTTTGTCAAATTTAATGCTCTAATGAAAAATCACGTATTTCCAGTTATTTTTATTTTGCAAAATAAAAAGGAAAACACAGCTACAAAATTGCACAAGAACAAGTGTAAAATAATAAGTTATTTTCGCGATAGCGTGTGCTAGTTAAGTAGTTAAGAAGACATGTGATAGATAAGAACTTAGTTCGGGATCGCCCGATTCTGCTTGATTCGCTTGATGCGGCTTGGGCCCCCCGAGGGCCCGGGCCCGTGTGCTTCGCACACACGGCACATCGATAGTTACGCCACTGGGGTTGCCAACCGTCCTCTATTCCAGAGGACAGTTCTCTTTTTGGTCTCACTGTCCTCTTTTCTCTCACGTATTGGAGAAGTCCTCTTTTTACATAGCAAACTCAAAATCTAAAAAAATATTCGTCTATCGCCACAATGCTTTAATAAATTGTTTTAATCTGTGTCTTTTGCTACTATCACTCGTTTGTACAGGAAAGAAAATGAAGAAATACTTATGTACAAGACATATTTCTGGAAACGATAAACATGTTTAACTATTTTATGTTTACTTACTGTTAGCTTACGTTTTGAAAAAAAAGTTTTGTTGAAAATGGTTTGTTTCATTTTAACTAGTTTTGGCTATAAACATTTTTAAGAACGTAAGAAAGACCATCAATCGCATACCATTGACATATTTTTTTCGTAAATTCTACATTTGGGCGAGGTTTCAAAAACTTTTTCGCCTGTACCTCTTTTTTGCCCTCTCGTCACCCTTCTATTTTTTATTTTGAAAGTTGGCAACCCTATATAAAATAGTGTTTATGATTTATTTAATGTCAGTCTCTTTGAAAAACCATATGTTGGGCAGTTACTCTAGAAGATATACTTTTAAGTTCAAAAGTTGATCTCTACCATGATCATCAAGCAGCATACTACAGAACTTAAAACCGTCTCTACTAGAGTAAACGTCAATAAACAATAATAATATGAGTTTTTCATGACAGTGACATTACAAAAAAAAATATTTTTTTAGAAGTGAGTTGATGAGGAAAAGCAAAGGCATGCTTTCAATGCTAAAATTGCTGTAAATGTTATGAGATGGCCACTCTCTTATTCAAAAGCGAATATCTCCAATAAAAATCTATAATAATAAAATCTATAAATATCTCCAATAATAATAGAGCTAATATAGCTATAATTGAGGTGAATCAAAAAACAAGCTATCGAGAAATAAATACTATAAATAATATAAATATATAATAAATAACGCTTTATTATGCAAAAAGCCAAAATAGCTTCGTCGACAAAGCATTTACAAAACAAACAAAGGCACAAAAAATATACAATACAAATCATACAATTCAAAAAAAAATTAAGTCATCTAAATTACAAATAGAATACACAAAACAGAACACAAACAAAGCGTATCAATAAAATTTTACAATAGGAAAATTGTAAATGGATATAATTTTAAGAGTTATAAAATAATATTAAATACTCGACCTTTGACCTGTGTGTGAGATGATCAAAATTTTAAAATTTTAAAATTCAAAATTGTTCATGATTAAACATCAACAAAAAAGTCGTTTACCGCATATAGGGCTTTCTCCAGTAAGTACGATTTCAGAGCTTTGCGAAATGCGGGAAAGAACGAAAGCGACTTGATATTCAAAGACAGATGATTGTATATTTTTTTGACATTGTAGTATTGAGCCTTTAACTAGTTCTGAGTTCGGGGTTGGCAGATAAAGATCATGCTCCGCATTCCTAAGTGGATAGTTATGAGATGGCCTTTAGGGAATAGCAAATATGTGCTTGCGGATTAAGCAAACGGATTCAAATATGAATGAAGAAGGAAGAGTCAGTATTTTGAAATTTTTAAAGAAATTCTGGCAGTGAGTTCTACTGATCAGTCCCAATAAATATCGAACTGCTCTCTTTTGAAGTTTGAAAATACGATCAAATTTTGTTGCGCAGCAAGTACCCCAGAATTGAAGGGCATAACGAAGATGTACAAAAGATGTGCCTAGGTGATAAAGTGATTTTTAAATTTCTTGCTTTGTTAATATATTCCACAGGGTGTGCCAGACTTTTACTAAAATACCAACATACCAACAGAAGCATATTCTACATTGCTTTTTATTTTGCCCCCCCCCCCCTAAAATAAATTCCTGTATCCGCCCCTGGGCCCGTTAGAACAAAATATATTAAACTTTAAAATTTATCAAAATTTTAAGGTGCTCGTTTTTCGTGCCGGTGAGTATACTCCTATTAACTAGATGCTATAATAAGTAGTATGGTCGAGAGTATTGTAAGGTTAATCATTTTAAGGTTAATTGTTGATTTAAAATTTTACCAGTTAACAGGTTTAGCGCTCTCCTAGATTAATCGCAATAAAAAAAAAACGGCGTCAAAGATGGCTGGAGACTGGAGAATGACAATCGAAGTTCATTTTGGCGAAGTCAATTCCTAGAGGTTATTTACTTGGTTAGGTTATTGTATTATTTTCTGATGGCGCTTACTTCCAGCGGGTCTTAAGAATGTTGTAATTTGTTTTCATTAGTAGAGTAGAAGTTATTATATATTAGTTATTAATTAGAAATAGATTTGTATGTCTGGAAACGGGGGACATAAAAAAACTTTTATGTCAATTTTTAGTAAGTGACGTCTAGAGATTGAACTCGCTAAAATTATCATCGATTGTTATTTTCCAGCCTTCTTCGATCATACGGTATATGTAATAGCTATTTTGCTTTAAATTTAACTGAAATACAACTAAAGATACTATTTAAAGAATTTATAAAATACACTTGTAATTTATTATTGCATGACTTTCATAATTTCGAGGTCAATGGATTCTTCATAATTTGATCATATAATCCTTGCTCATTTCCTATCATTTTTAGCTGTTATGAACCAGAAATGACAATTTTTTCAACAAGATACTGATTCTTAGATAATATTTCGCAATCATACTTAATTAATTATAAATATAATTTAAGTTGTCTGCGTTTTATTAATATAAAATAAACGTAAAGTACCTTACTAATATTTTATCCATGATTATTACCTGTGATTAAAACAAGATTCCTATTCTTTTCCTATTTTTTTAGACACTTGAAACACTTCTCGTCAAAAGAAAAAGAACAATTTTATATACCGATTTGTCTTTCAAGATACGAAGTTTTGGCAAAGATTAGCTGGTAAACTGTCTTCAAATTTTCGAAATTTGTTTTTATACCACTGCAGTGTCTGTTATCTTTGCGTGAAGAAATTGTATGGTGAAACACACAATGGAGTGATATTTTCGATTATATAGTTGTGTATTTATAAAAATAACAACTTTTCTAATTAGAGAATTAAAAAAAAAGTTTGGTTTGATATCTTTTCGGGTTTATAATTTAAACTAGTAAATATTATTTATTGTTGAAATTATTTCTTTGAACATTTGTTGTTTACCTTAATGACTCTTAATTTTGAACATTTTTAATTTAGATAAGCTGCCGATAAATTTAAATGAAAGACATATCGTGTTATTTTTAAATTTAGCAGAAAAATACCGTATGATTGGAAAAACGCGTCCTGTTGGCTTTGAAATGTCGATGGACGACATCTCCCATATACTTTTACATATCAAATGACAGCGATCTTCTGTTCCAAGCTATATTTGACGCCGAATTTTTTTTCGGTCATGGGGTATAATAATTATGTTTTTATATTATTGAATTTATTATGTTCTAGACGGTTTCCGGTACACTGTACAGGGTGGCTCGAATTCGACGCTCATCATTGGGATTTCGGAAACCGTAAGAGATACAGGATCGGTTAAATGGAGGCAAAGTTGCGCAATTTGATGCTCAATAAAATGCCGTATTGCATTTTTATTTTTTATTTTTTTTTTTGCATAAAATATTCTGGTGATGGAATTTTCTGTACGAAACGTCGGCAAATATCAAAGTGACTATATATAGTGTTTTAAGAGTGATAAAAGGATTTAATTAAATTGAGAAAAAAATCAGGTCCGTATTTAAAAAAAAAATAAGTTGATAATGGTCGCCAGAAGCCGAAACGTCAGAGTCAATATTTAATCACACAGAGTTATAGAGCAGAAAAAGTGGCCATGAAAATGTGTTTTTGACTTTAAGTTATCTTAACAAATAAAGCCAAGAAACACTGGAAAACAAAATTGAAAATTCCGTTTTTTTTTCGAAAATATTCGGAAGTATTCGGAATTTTTCAAAATGCAATACGGCATTTTATTGAGCATCAAATTGCGCAACTTTGCATCCATTTAACCGATTCTGTATCTCTTACGGTTTCCGAAATCCCAATGATGAGCGTCGAATTCGAGCCACCCTGTACAGTGTGTCCTATTCTCGTGTGTTTTATGGGGTTCTCGTTTACGAGATACAAAGATGCGGTTTTCACATCAGTGTGTTAGTTTTTTTATGAAACTGAAGATACTACACAGATTGTAGAATGATTAATGGGGGGGGGGGAGTTAATCACCTCGACCTTAAAGATCTATTGTGATCCCTGTTTTGAGTTATAGTTTATCATACAGTCTATAACTCATTATACATGGGGATCTTCCTGTTGTAGGGTATTTCTGACAGACCATCCTTTTCTGACAAAAGATGTTCTTCCTCCGAGGAGGGGACATCTACCTCCTCCGAGGATATACACATTATACACGCTTCCATGGTTGGGCTTTGGTTCTCCATGCCCTTCACAGTCGAAGAGCTTGTCTCCGTCTGATGTACCCATGAGATGGAGGCTGGAGAAAATGGAGACGGATCCTCCATTTTCTCCACCTTTTTAACTTGGTCTCTCCTTATACCCGATACCGATGCGGTGTCGTCCCGAATCTATAATAGAGGATATATCTCTCTTTCTCTATTGCCTCCTTGGATTTGAGGTCAATTCCTATTGTGAGGACCTGACCATGGCCTCCCTCGAATTGGTGACTCGCCAACTCGATTTCCTTACGTTGGAGTTCTAGAAAAGCTGGTGATACGTCCCTGCTTGCCTTGCGGTGTTGGACAACTTTACATCCTGGCTTTTCTCTCTTTGACGGAGCGGAGGTGAGAGGTTGTCGATTTCTCTCTCGCCCTTTGGTGGAGATGCGCCAATCTGTTTCTTGGTTTCTTTACTCTCCCCTTGAGAGTAAAGAAAAAAAATATATATAAAGAGTGTTGTCTCTTTTACTTCCTCTGGAGCAAATCCTTCGTGGAGCAGTTGGAGGTATCTCGGTACTGCTATATAAATATAAATAGATGGGGCTGTACATACAGGCATTTACCCCAATATCTTTCGGGTAGAAATCTACGCTGTCAAAAGATGCGTACAACTTATCTTAGATATGAAGTATCGGAAACCAGAAATAACTATCTTTAGGATCGGACTGGGCCTGAGGGCCTGAGGACGGCATTTTCAGATTGTACGGATGGATTATTTTTGTGTACTTTTTCCCATTGTTTGGGACAATTTTTCTCTATTGATTTGTTGCTAGTGCTTGAAATCCAGGGAACTACCCGTAATGCAATGCCAAACCAAACCAGACGACTACTACTGCCTAGAAATAAGGCAAAAAATGTTTTAAGAGTTTTTGTACCAAAATGCCTTCTATACACTGGATGAGTTTTTTTGAATCGGATGTAGATTTAATTTATAATTTTGAAGTGATGTAATATTTAGTTTTCTTTCATGTCTTTTTGATTTTTTTCTGTCTTATATTTTGTTTTTTTTCCTAGCTTTTAAATTTATATTATTATAAATATTATATTGTTAGTTTATAGTTAGAATTTAGTTTTAGATATTTGTATATATTATTAATTTAATTGCTGTTAATACCTTTTGTTTTGCATTATGTGACTATGTGATTATTGTTTCCATGTCCATATGGGGCTTCTATGTATTTTTGGGAAATAAAGATTACTTACTTACTTACAATGCAAATGAAAATATTGTTAACCCCCCAAAAAAAAGTTTTCGGGACAACCTACAGTCTTACATTTTTGCATTTCATTTCTATCTAAAAATAAATAATGAACTATTTTACATGTAGGTCCGCGAAGGCTAGGACCCGGCTAGCAATCGCCACCCTGACTATATGGCCAGTGAGACCCTAGCTATCTTGTCCGATAGCAGCATTAAAAGCGATCAACTCAGTAACCATCAACTCGAAGTTGGTCAAAGAATGCCTGAGAAGGTGAACAAATTTGGCAAAGATGATAAAGTCTTCCTAGTCTGGGTGTCAGCTCACCAAGGGATAGAAGGCAATGGAAAAGCAAACGATTTAGCTAGAAAAGGAGCGATTTAGCTAGCTCCACTAACTGGACCAGGACCGTTCTGCTTCCCAAGTTCCCAAGTGGAAACCAACTTAGGAATTCAAGAACCTGGAAGACTGTATCCGTAACGTGGAATGGGAATTCTCCAACGATCTAAGACACACGAAAAAATTTCTCAGAACTTACGACCGAGAAAAATCAAAGATTTTCCTTGACTTAACTTCGGATTGTCACGGGGTTTTTAACAGGACACTGTCTCCTCAACGAACACCTCAGTAGATTGAAGCTAAAAAACAACGGCGAATGCAGATTATGTGGGGAAAATGGGAAAACATCAGAACACCTTGACGTTCTGTTAAAATGAAAACAAAAATGTTGTTTGTCAACCGTTTTATAGACGTATCTGATTGAAAAAAAAACTAAAGTGTTCTCGAATAGTTGCATTTAGATATTTTAAATAGGTTTTTTCTTTGTTCTTTGTGTTTTTTTGCTTCCGACAATGGAAATAGATATACTTCCCGAAACATTAAGCATTTTTTTGTTCGTTAGGCAAATTTGTTTATTAGTAAACCACTGCTGACAATTAGTCTCCGTTGGATTAACGCAGCAGTGTTGTCTAAAAAAAATAAATATTTTATTGTGTAGATTTTCTTGCAGTGGCGAAATACCTATAGGACTTTTTTGAACAGTTTATTTTCAAATACTCGATTAATATTATCTCTTATTGCAATTAATCCTATTTTTTTAAATTTAAAAACCTCGTTATTTTTCAGTTTCTAGTTTTCTTAAAATTTTTGGATTTATTAAAATGAGAAGATCCGATAGAAGACCTCCTCTCTAATTTCTGTGATTATTTATTTTTATCGATATCATTTATTTTGATATGTACTACGCTATGAACAACAATTAAAGTCCAATCAGCACCAAACAAAAATGTCGCAAAATTTGCTAACTATTTCTTAAAAAAATATATTTTTAAACTTATTCTTATTTCTATTTCTTTGTAGAATTATTTTTTTAAAGGGGTTAAAAGGTTAATTGCGTTTTAAAAATGCAACTAAATTTGTAAGGAAAAAGAACAATGAGATATTGTCATACGTTGTTCAGCTTTGCTATTCATGTTAAAATTTTGCTGAACTTATAGTTTTTTCTTTTAGAAAGAAAATATGTCGTTATCTGTATAGACGTTCAACAGTAAAAAAAACAATAGCATTTTTTTCTGTTTGATAATATGTAGGTATACAATATTGAATGTCGCACTTAAAGCTCGTGGTCATATACGATGCAAAGTGAAAAATTATCGCTGTATATGTGGCATTAAGGTGTTATTTACAAAGTTGATCATTTCTCTCACGACGCCCTCTAAATTTTTAGTTTATTGTCTAAAAAAAATAACAGACCATTGTAAACCCTTAATATTCACAACAAACCTTTCCCCAAAGACGATTTATTTCCCGTTTAAATTACACGGGAATTTGCCACAGATAGAACTCCTAAAAATAGTAAAAAAAGTTCCTATAAGTATAGGGCAGAAAATGCTTATTAAGGGAGTTAAGGGCACTGAAAGGGTGAATTTAAAAAACGGTTGTTTTGAAATTGTAGGCTTAGAAAACGAGATAAAATTTTGAAAAAAAATCCTCTGCCATAAATTTTGACCCTAAGCCAAATGGTGATATTTAAAAATTATTTAGAAAAGCGGAAAGGGTAGTTTTTGCAAGGGTGGGGGGTTGTTTCGTGAATAACTTTTTTGAGATTATTTTTTTTGCAACGTGGGTTAATTTTTTGAAAACTACATACTTTTTCCTACAAAAAAGGCTCTCTTTAAAAAACGAAATAATCCAATTACCAAAATTCCTTATTAAAATAACGCATTCCTTAATTCATTCATAGTAAATGTTCAAAGTGACCACCATTCATTTCAATG